ACACACACACCCACACCCACACCCACACACACACACACACACACACACACACACACACACACACACACACACACAGCATTCAGAACACACACAGAACACACACATACATTCTAAACACAGGCATTGCGAACACACACATAAACTGTGCTTGATCAGTCTGAGTGATGTGGTTTAGTTTTTCAGTGATGATGATCAGGCGTAAATGTGTGTGATGGGACGTTACATTAATGGCCAAAGCAGCACTTCCAGCACAATATTGCTCTTATATTATTACCTCCAGAACTAAATGAGTCTGCTGGATATGAACAAAGTATAAGAAAACACCACAATCTCATTTGCATTTAAAGCGACAGTCACCAAAACACCACAATTAGGATCAAAGCCTGAAAGGGTCAGTTTTAGAGAGCTGGAGGACATCATCTGTGTGTTGTTATCAGCTCAAACTCAAACTCACACACACACATGAGAGACACAGCAGAGTCGTGTTTACAGCTTGTAGGAAGGGGCAGAATAGGTGCTCTTTAAAGGTCACTGAGATCACGAATGGAGTCTCCCGATCATCATAGTGTGCAGTATGTGTGTGTGCAGTACCGTGGTCTTCTTGCGCTGCTCATGTCCTCGAATCACAGCCTGTCTCCAGTGCAGCTCCCGCAGCCGCTCCCTCAGCTTCTCCACCAGTGTGTCCCGCTGCTGCAGCTCGATCAGCTGGAACGCACGCTTACAGCGGACACTGATGATCAGCGGGTTCGGGAGAGCAGCGGTGCTGTCTGCCTTCTCTACTGAGACTATCTGCGCGCACACACACACACACACACATATATATATATACACATGTGCATTAACTGACCCTACTGCTGGCTGCTGAAGGACAGATACCCATCAGGGATGTGTGTGATGTATGTGTGTTTACCTCCGCCAGTGGGATGATGAGCGCGCACTGGCCCTCCTGCCGGCTGCTGAAGCACAGATACCCATCGGTGGTGTAAACGGTGCCCGACGTGTGACAGCGGGCGTGAGGAGTCCACAGCGAGCATGACATCACTTCCTGCAGTTGCTCACCTCGAGGAAGCCCGAAGAGAGAGAGCACATACTGTCTGAGGGCCTGTTCCTCCAAAACTCTGAAACACAAACACACACACACACAAACAGATGAACAGCAGAAAAAACACACCTGTTGGTCAATAAATACACACACACACTCACACAGTTAGACCGCAGACTGCAAAGAAAACACACTTGCTGGTCTATAAATACACAGATGCTGATTTCTCAACTAAAACACACACACACACACACACAACAGCAGCAAGTTCACACACAGATATCTCTACATGTGTTTACTTCACATGACGATAATTTGTGCAGTCACAGCCAGTGTGGGATGAGTTGATTTAAAAAGTAATCAATTACTTCATTAAACTCTATTTAAATGAACTATTTTGAATAGTTATATCTGAATAATGATCTTGATGCATATATAATCAATTAAACTTTAGATTTTTTTAGATAGATGTGATTATCTTCAGATGTGAATGTGATTTCAGTGGTTGTTGATGTGATTGACTGAATATAGATGGGGTCGCCTATAAATGTAGATGTAATTGTAGTTGTAGGTGTTGTTGACTAGATATAATTGTAGATGTGACTGTCTAGATATAAATGTGATTGACTAGTTGTAGATGTGATTGACAGTGAATGTAAATGTGACAGCCAGTAAATATAGACGGGATTGTCTTCAGATGTGAATATGATTGATATAGATGTGACTGGCTGTAGTTGTAGATGTGATTGACTCTAGATATAGATGCTATTGGCTGTAAATGTGATTGTCTGTAGATGTGATTGACTTGATATTATTGTAGATGTGACTGTGTAGATATAGATGTGATTGATGTAGTTGTAAATGTGATTGTCTTTAGATGTGGATGTGATTGACCAAATGTGATTGTTTAGATATAAATTTGACTGACGGTAGATTTAGATGTGATAGACTGTAAATGTAATTGCAGTTGTAGATTGGTTGACTAGATATAATTGTAGATGTGACTCTCTAGGTATCACATCTATACCTAGAGAGTCACATCTACAATTATATCTAGTCAACTACTTGACTACTTGTAGATTTGATTGGCTATAGATGTAGATGTGATTGTCTTCAGATGTGAATGCGATTGTCTATAGATGTAGATGTGGTTGACCAGATGTGATTGTCTAGATGTAGATGTTATTGACTGTAGTTGTAGACATGATTGACAGTTGATATAATTGTAGATGTGATTGACAATAGATGTAGATGTGGTTGTCTATAGATGTGATACTCTGCAGATATGATTGTAAATGTAGATATGATTGTCTAGATATAGATGTAACTGACTGTAGTTGTTGATGTGATAGACTTGATATGATTGTAAATGTAGATGTGATTGTCTAGATATAGATTTGATTGATATAGTTGTAAATGTGATTGTCTGGAGATGTGATTGACTTGATATGATGGTAGATGTGACTGTCTAGATATAGATTTGATTGATGTAGTTGTAAATGTGATTGTCTGTAGATGTGGATGTGATTGACTCTATATGTAGATATAATTGTAGTTGTAGATTGGTTGACAAGATATAATTGTAGATGTGACTGTCTATGTATAAATGTGATTGACTGTAGATGAGATTGACTGTAGATGTGGATGTGATTGTATGTAAATGTAGATGTGATTGCCTTCTGATGTACATGTGATTGTCTGTAGTTATTACACAAATCACAGCTCTAATGCAGCTGCTGTACTAAATCTCTAAGAAACTCCTGAAAACTCTGGATCCACATCATGTCTGAACTCTGCACCCAGTCGTCCTCTCTTCTGCTTTACTTGCTTTCACTTTCTCAAACATGAACTTCCTCTTTAGAGGTGGAAGTGTGTTAAGGTCTAAACTCTGCTTAATAGAACATCTTGTCAACCCAGGCACGATCTGGAAGCGAGTTCCGCATGATCAATAAAACAGCAATACACCATCACATCTCTGTAAATGCAGATGTGATTGACCGTAAATGTAGATGTTTTTGTCTGTGGATGTGATTGACTAGATGTAGATGTGATTGTCTGTAAATGCAGATGTGATTGTCTAGATGTAGACACAGATTTGATCGTAGATGTGATTGACTGTAGATGCAGATGTGATTGCCTGTAGATTTGATTGTCTGGTAATGCAAATGTAATTGTCTGTAAATGCAGATGTGATTGTAGATGTGGTTGTCTGTGGATGTTATTGACTAGATGTAGATGTGATTGCCTATTGATGTAGACACCGATTTGATTGTAGATGTAGATGTGATTGTCTGTAGATGTGATTGTGGATGTTTTTGACTAGATGTAAATGTGATTGTTTGTAGATATGATTGACTGAAAGTAGATGTAACTGTGTATGCAGATGTGATTGTTTCCAGATGTGATTGACTGTAGATGTGATTGTCTGTAAACGCAGATGTGATTGTCTGTGGATATTATTGCCTAAATGTAGATGTGATTGTAAATGCAGATGCGATTGTCTATAGATGTAGATACAGATTTGATTGCAGATGTGATTGACTGTAGATGCAGATGTGATTGACTGTAGATGTGATCGTCTGTAAACACAGGCGTGATTGTCTGTAGATGTAGATGTTATTGTCTATAGACTTAGACAAAGATTTGACTGTAGACGCAGATGTGAATGTTTCCAGATGTGATTCTCTGTAAACGCGGATGTGTAGATATGACTGATTAGATGTAGACGAGATTGTAAATGCAGATGTTACTGTCTGTAGATATGATTGACTAGATGCAGATGTGATTGTAAATACAGATGTGGCAGTCTATAGATGTTGATACAGTTTTGATTGTAGATGTGATTAACTGTAGATGCAGATGTGATTGTTTCCAGATGTGATTGTTACTAGATACGGATGTGACTGACTGTGGATGCAGATGTGATTATCTGTAGATGCAGATGTGATTGACTGTGGACACAGATTATCTATAAATGTAGACACAGATTTGATTGTAGATGTGATAGACTGTAGATGTGATTGTCTGTAGATCCAGATGTGATGCAGGTATGTACGGCACCTCTTAGTAATGTTGGTGAAGTCCTGCAGTGCCTGATCAAGCGTGAGTCCGCCGCTGTCCAGCAGCCTGCGGAGGGCGATATCAGCCAGCTGACACATGACCATCATCACCTCCTCTACATTCATAAACATGGAGAACTCTCTGTGTTTCCGTCTGGTGTGAACGCGGATCACATCCGTCAGCACACCCACCGACACGCGTTCCAGCCGCGTCACTTCAGCCCACGGGACTAACAGCTTCACTGCTCAAAAACAACACACTCCAGTTATAACCAGCTCAAAGATGGAAAGACACCGACACTCATTTATTCTCTCAGCAGAACAGGTGCAGACTGTGGCAGAACTCTCATTATAGCCACAGGAAGTGCTCACTGCAGTTCTGTTTTAACACACTGGAGCCACTTCAATTTCCCCTTTCTTTGAGTAATGATTTTACTCAACACATTCACTGCATTTTACTTCATGTAGTTCCGTGACCTTCAGCAATGTTTAAACTGTACAAAGATTGTAAAGATTGTAAATTCCATTTGATTCTGAGCCTTTATTTATTATTTATATTGGATTTATAAAGCATAAATAGTCCTCATTTTAGATTTGGTCACAAAACTGCATGAGGTTGTTAATAAAACATTTGTGATAGATGTAGATGTGATTGTATATGCAGACGTGATTGTCTATAGATGTAGACACAGATTTGATTGTAGATGTGATTGATTGTGGATGAGAATGACTATAGATGCAGATGTGATTGCCTGTATATGCAGATGTGATTGGCTATAGATGCAGATGTGATTGCCTGTATATGCAGATGTGATTGCCTGTATATGCAGATGTGATGTGATTGGCTATAGATGCAGATGTGATTGCCTGTATATGCAGATGTGATTGTCTGCAGGATTGTCTGTAGATGCAGATGTGATTGGCTATAGATGCAGATGTGTTTGTCTGTATATGCAGATGTGATTGGCTATAGATGCAGACGTGATTGCCTGTATATGCAGATGTGATTGGCTATAGATGCAGATGTGATTGCCTGTATATGCAGATGTGATTGGCTATAGATGCAGATGTGATTGCCTGTATATGCAGATGTGATTGGCTCTAGATGCAGATGTGATTGTCTGTAGATGCAGATGTGATTGGCTATAGATGCAGATGTGATTGCCTGTATATGCAGATGTGATTGGCTATAGATGCAGATGTGATTGTCTGTAGACGCAGATCTGATTGGCTATAGATGCAGATGTGATTGCCTGTAGATGCAGATGTGATTGGCTATAGATGCAGATGTGATTGCCTGTATATGCAGATGTGATTGGCTATAGATGCAGATGTGATTGCCTGTATATGCAGATGTGATTGGCTATAGATGCAGATGTGATTGTCTGTAGATGCAGATGTGATTGGCTATAGATGCAGATGTGATTGTCTGTAGATGCAGATGTGATTGGCTATAGATGCAGATGTGATTGTCTGTAGATGCAGATGTGATTGGCTATATATGCAGATGTGATTGCCTGTATATGCAGATGTGATTGGCTAGAGATGCAGATGTGATTGTCTGTAGATGCAGATGTGATTGGCTATAGATGCAGATGTGATTGTCTGTACATGCAGATGTGATTGGCTATAGATGCAGATGTGATTGTCTGTACATGCAGATGTGATTGGCTATAGATGCAGATGTGATTGTCTGTACATGCAGATGTGATTGGCTATAGATGCAGATGTGATTGTCTGTACATGCAGATGTGATTCACTTCCATTTTCCCTTCCTTTGAGTAATGAATTTAATCAACATATTTACTGTATTTTACTCTACTGAAGGTCACAAAACCACATAAAGATGTTATTATGCAATGTTTAAACTGTACAATAACTTTATTTTTTAGAAAAGATTTAATTTCCATTTCATTCTGAGCTTTTATTTATTATTTATAATGGATTTTTAAAGCATAAATAGTTCTCAGATTCGGTCACAAAACTGCAAGAAGGTGTTAATAAAGCATTTATTGATATACAGAGTAACCTTTGCTATATGCATGAAAACTAAGATGTACAAACATTTATTTGAATAGTTTATTAATCATTTCTTACTCATTCTGAATGATCTTAAAAGCCTTCTACTACTCCTAAATACAGACGGTTTGTAGATAATGCAATACTTACCTTAGTGGTGAAAAGTTTATCATTAACAGAGTATGAAAACACCATGACTGACCACATTATACATGCGCTTAGAAGTCAAGAATGCAGCATTTGTAGCTGTAGTTATACTGCAAACTAATGTTTATTATTGTAGAGTTAATGCTTAACAAATGATGAGTTACCTACTTGCTGATGCTTGGTAAATGATTGATAGTGTGCAGTTTTTATAGGGTTACCGATGATTTGTTTCAGAAATAAACAGATGTTGTCCTCTCACCCTCTTTGCCCAGCAGGAATGAGTAGAAGGCCATGTGGTTGGTGGTGAGGTACAGCGAGCCCTGCCGCGGGACACGGCTCTTCCAGCAGCAGCAGGAGTAATGCACCACCAGCTTCTCTCGCTGCGGGAGGCCGAAGCGCTGCTCGAAACGCACCAGATCTTCCCGAAAGCGTGCGGGATCATCTTCATGAGCTGCCTGACCACCCAAAACCTCCTCCGCAATCAAACCCTGCAGGAAAACATTACAGAGAAACCTTCTTACCAGATCAATTCCACATGAGGGAGAATAAATGAAGAGTAATTTTCATAGATAATGTCCCTGAGCTGCTGGACTCATTGTTAGTTTGTGTGTGTCTGCTGTAAGGTCCTACTTTGACTTTGCCCTGAACAAAACTGGCGGCATCTTCTTTATTCTCAAACACAGCCATGTACGGCAGCAGGTTCTGATCCAGCCATTTCCAGTGTTTCATCACCTCCTCTATCGTCCCTCCTGAACACATACAGAGCACAATGTCATACACACACATGCACATGCATGCAAACACACAAACGCACACACACATGTATGCACACACACACACACAAACATACATTCACATGCACAAACATTCACCCAAACAAGCATGCACGCATACACACAAACATGCAAGCAGATGCACGTACATTCACACACACTCACAAAAAAAAACACACAAGCACGTACACACATGCACGCAAACACACAAATATGCATGCAAACACACATGCATGCACAAAAACACACATTCATGCACACATACAAACATGCAAACACAAACACACATGGACGTACATGCACACACATGCATGCAAACACACATGCACACACAAACACACATGGACGTACATGCACACACATGCATGCAAACACACATGCACACACTCACACACATGCACGTACACACACAAAGCAGGTCTTGACAATAAGAACTGCCTGATGGCCCGGGGCCAGCGTGCGAGACGCTCGGGACAGTAGACAGGATCATTACTGGATCAGTGTTGTCTTTTCAGCAAAGTTTCATTTGGTTCTGACTGTTTGTCAGTTGTCTTAAAGGGGGTCGCACGCTGGATATCAGACGGCGGTCTGTGGTGCAGCAGAAATATGAACAGTGCCATGCATCTTAGAATTGTAAACCAGCCTATCAGGGTCCACAAACCAGCGCTGCATAAAACTGTTTTTATTGTAAAATGTTCACCTTATGCATGGATTTAGGAGACATTCACGCATCTTTGCACAAAGAAACATCAAACGCAGCGCTCAGGAATGGTTTAAATTCCTGGTTCAACTCTGGTGAAAGCAAACTGACACATGCGCGCAGAAAACCATTCCTCACGCACTCCTGTGTAAATCCCAGTTGTTTACATGCACGCCGATAAAATACGCGCCGTGAAACCGGAGTAACAGACTTTTGTGCAGAGGTGTCGCATTCAGGGAGTTTTGCAAGTCGACAAATCTAAAGTTCATATAATATGACAATGATGTTACTTTCACTAAGCATGGCTATTAAACAAAAAGGGGGATAAAGAGTCAGGGAGGAAAGACTTCACAACATTAATTCTCGGCCACGAGTCGGGTCTAAGACAACAGATAATTTTATAAAACTTTTTTTTGTATTCTTGAGAATTATCATAATTAATATTCATGCAAAAGGTTTCTTAAGTGATCTTGGCATGTCACTCCAGTTGTTACATTGTTTTCCAGTAACATTTAAGATTGATTTCTGTTATTTATTTAAAATAATAATTGTATTATAATATTAATAATAATTGTATTATTTAGAATAAATTGTTGTATTTATTGAATAACAAATCTAACAATTTAAGAGGGCTGAGGGTGTATGGGGTGGTTTGCCCAGGATGTCATTTAAACTAGAACCGTCACTGCCCTCCCCGATCATCGTTGACAGCACACACACACCTTCAATAGACAGCAATGGCAATTTAATATTTACCTTTAGGTATATCAATAGAAAAAGCTGCATTAATAATAATGTGGCTCGAAAAGGGATATGCATAAATGATATTATTAGGGTCTGTTTAGAGAGTGTGTGTGTAAATAGTAATGCCTTTTGTTCAGTCTGTTCATTTTTTTATTTTATTGTTTTATTAACTCATTCAGACATGGCGCATACTGTATGCTGCAAAATAAAAGTATGTGAAATATAACACATATAATAATAATAATAATTATTATTATTATTATTATTATATATATATATATGAAAAGTGTTTTTAAATTAAATATTGATTTTTATTTTTTTTCTGGTTTGCACATGTACTTGCTGAATTATTTCAAGGAATAAATTGCAATATTTCAAGAGTAATTAATTAAATAATTTCATTTACCAGAAACAAAAATATAACATTACACTGAATTCAGAATTTCTTTTGTGTGCCACCCCAAGATTTGGTGCGGCCTCTTCTGGCCACCCCTAGGAAAATTTTCTGGGGCCGCCACTAACAGCAGTGTTTGCAGGGCCGGTGAACACATGCAGAGTTTTGTTTGTCTGTTAAATATGGTCATAGAAAACTTGTAGATGCTCATAATTTTTGGTGGGTGCGACAAAATTTTGGCTGGTGCGACTACATTTTTGAAGTAAGGGACACCACTGCTACCAAGAAAAAAGCTTTATTTTGAGCCCTGGATATATATATATATATAAAGAAAAGTTATGCTGAATTAAGTGTATGTATACAGTAATGTTTGGCTTTTGACACACTATTTAAAATATGTAGCTGAGAAATGGCTATTAACTCATTTGTTTTGGTGGGGCCAGTGAACATTTTGGCAGGGCAAGTAAAAATCTGAACCACCGGCCCGATCGAGCCATTAGAAAAAAATCCTTAGTGTTGAACCCTGCACAAGCATCCATGTGGCACACACTGGCATTCACTCACACACACACAAACACACACGAACACACACGAACACACACGAACACACACGAACACACACGAACACACACACACACACACACGAACACACACACACACACACACACACACACACACACACACGAACAAAGACACACACGAGCACCTGGGAACACACTGGTGTGAATGAGAGATAAACACACTCTCACCGCTGGCTATGACCCAGCTGAGCTGAGATTCAGGCACATGCAGAACGATCCGGAACGGAGCCACTCGAGCATTAGAGTCCAGCACAGTGTCCAGTGCACCCACCAGCAGACCTGAAACACACACACACACACACACACACACACACATCAAACCTACTACACTCATTCACAATGAGCACTCGCAAAACATACCAGTAACACTTTATTGAGTCACAATTAACGAACCATTAACTAAGACTATTTGCTCGATAAACAGCTAATTAGTTGCTTATTAATAGTCATTAAGGCAGTAGTTGGGTTCAGGTGGTGGGTAGGATTAAAGATGGAGAATAAGACCATATTGCAGGCAGTAGGTAATAGCATGAATTGTGAGCTAAGGTGTTTCAGCTCGCATCTCAGCCTGCCTGTCAGACATTTCACACCATCATCATCTTCAGCTTAACCTCACGAAAACAGAAATGCTTGAAGTTTCTGCCAACCCGACTCTACACCATAACTTTTCAATCCAGATGGACGGGGCAACCATTACTGCATCCAAAATGGTGAAAAGCCTTGGAGTAAAGATTGATGACCAACTAAACTTCTCTGACCACATCTCTAGAACTGCTCGATCTTGCAGATTCACACTCCATAACATCAGAAAGATCCGACCCTTCCTATCTGAACATGCAGCTCAACTCCTTGTCCAGACTGGACTATTGCAACTCTCTACTAGCCGGGCTTCCAGCTAACTCTATCAAGCCTCTTCATCTGCTCCAGAACGCAGCAGCACGAGTGGTCTTTAATGAAGCTAAAAGAGCACATGTCACTCCGCTGCTCATCCGTTTGCACTGGCTGCCAGTTGCTGCTCGCATCAAATTCAAAGCTCTGATGTTTGCTTACAAAGTGACTTCTGGCTTTGCTCCTTCTTATCTGCTCTCGCTTCTGCAGATGTATGTGCCCTCCAGAAACTTGCGTTCTGTGGATGAACGTCGCCTCGTGGTTCCATCCCAAAGAGGGAAGAAATCACTTTCCCGAACTCTCGCATTCAATCTGCCCAGTTGGTGGAATGAACTCCCTAACTGCATCAGAACAGCAGAGTCACTCGCTGTCTTTAAGAAAAACTCAACTATTTAGTCTCCACTTCCCTCCCTGCAATTGCCTCTCTGACTCCACCGCTAACTGTACTACCAAAAAATGACTAATGTTTTGCTTCTTGCACTTTACACACCTGAAACTCGCCTACAGCACTTCTTCATTGTTGCTCTTATAGTTGTGTAAATTGCTTTCTTGTCCTCATCTGTAAGTCGCTTTGGATAAAAGCGTCTGCTAAATGACTAAATGTAAATGTAACATGTAAAATATAGTATTGCTGACAATTTTCTTTATTTCATAGATTCGAGTTATGAATTACAGTATCGCAATACTACTAGGTCTCACGATACGTCAGCTGGCATAGTATCATAATGTGAATTATTGGTATCGAGATATTCCTACTACAAACTCAAACGCACATGCTTCGAAAGGCATTTAAAACACCACGTGAGCTGCTCCTTTAACCTCCTAGGGCTTGAGTGTCCACATATGTGGACAGCACATTTGAGCTCTTAAGTGTTAATTTAAAATACTTTGAATGTTTTATATTTTATTACAGACATACAGTGTCATCCTGCAACTGTTTTGCAGCATATGAAATGTCCCAAACACTATTTTTAACTGTCCAAAATGGAAAAAAAATGTTTGTTTTTACTCTCTGATAGTGAAAGCAATAAAAAAAAATGTCTATGTTATTTATGCATTAAAAACAGTCAGGAAAAAGTGTTTTATGTAAATTTGGACCACAAGTCCACATATATGGACATCATTTTTCTCTAAAAGTGCATCATATCAAAAGATGATACTTAGATTTTTATTCTAATTAGGTTCCAATAAGCCCAAATAGCAAAGACAAACAAAAAATGCATGTAAAAAACAGCTTGGGCCTAACATTAACATGTGCTTTTTAGTTATGGATTAATTCAAAGAAAACTTTTACACAGATTATGCAAACATACACAACTGAGCAGAAACCACACGTTAACTGCGGAGTATTCACACACTAGAAGTAGAATCATTCTGTGACTGTAAAATTCTCCCCTGATTACTGTGTAATCTCAGCTTATGTCAGTCTCTGTGTAATTACAGACACAGAAGTGCTGCTGTCATATTCCAGCACTAACTCCAGCATCATCTGCGCCTGTGCATTAGTCCAGCATTGTGTTATTATTGTGTGCGTCTGTTTGAGGAGGAGTGGTGCGAATGTATTAACATATCACGCTTCATACGGCCTGATCAACATCTGCATGAGGGAGTTTCACTTTCACAGTCGAGCTGCGGTCGCCCGAAACTACACAAACACCAGGCTGGCACACACACACAATCACACACACACACACACAAGCAGAGAAGAATTAACCACAGAGAAATATGCACATGATCAGCCTGATGTGAAACACACACACACACACACACACGCACGCACACACACAAAACTAACATTTCATACTTCTAGAGTCTATCTGTTAATGTGTATAAGCAAGAACACACACACATCACTCACACAAACACACTTGCACTTACACATATGCATTCAAACATGTATTGAAGGTAAATCCTGCCAACTATAAATAAATCAAATAAACAGTGGAAATTTAAAAAAATGTTGATTAACAATTTATAAGAATTTTGTTATAAATCTATAACAAAATATATTTGGGAGCATTTGTGCGAGTGCAAAAAATTGCCAATAAACCGCCAACAATTCCAGCATATGTTTTACACAGCGAATGCCCTTCCAGTTGCAACCCAGTACTGGGAAACACCCATGCACACTCATTCACACAAACACACACTCCTCATACACTACGGCCAGTGTAGTTGATCAGTTCCCCTATACCGCATGTGTTTGGACTGTGGGGGAAACCGGAGCACCCGGAGGAAACCCACACCAACACGGGGAGAACATGCAAACTCCACACAGAAACACCAACTGACCCAGCCGAGACTCAAACCAGAGACCTGAGTGCTTTGAGGCAATCATGCTACCCACTGCACCACCGTGACACCCAGGTGTTTGGTTAAATAAAGGTCAGATAAAGGCACAGGTAAAGTAGTTCCGGCAGGTTTAGAGCGCATTACAGCTGCATATCCCTCCACTGAATGATTACAGTTATTCCACAGCAGTCAAAATCACATCAGAACACAACAGACTGTCATGTGACAGCATTACCAGCGTTTTATTTTAACACTGAATCAAGCCATGTGATGAAGAACGTCACTGAATTTGACAGATGTTGGCTGTTAAACACTCGATTTACAGCAGAACTAGTGTCTGACTTCACACACACTCAAGCTCCGGCTCAGACTGCAGTGTATTCTAGTGGTTCAGCTCATTGCTCAAGAGGTCCACACACACCACACACACACACACACACACACACACACACACACACACACACACACACACACACACACACACACACACACACACACACAATCATAACAATAACCCATGAGGAGCTTCAGTGCAGCCTGTGGT